ATTAAATAACACACACACATATATATATATATATATATATATATAAATTATATATAAATTTTTATATATATTATTTTTATAAAAATTTGATACTATTTTTATCACTTTTATATTGAAAGTTCTGTTATTATATAATTGAAAATTAACATTACAGATATTAATAATAATTTTATATCTATATTTATAATGATAGAATTTTCTAAAGAATATATTTTTATATTATTCTTGTACATATTGTTATATAGCATTATATATCATGTAATTAAGTATCTGATTGCTGATAATTCATAACATGAAATATAAAATTCTTTAAAATAATATAGTACATTCTTTATCTCTATTTATGATAATTATCTAAAGCAATAATTTGAGTTCTATTTATCTACATATATCTCTATGAGATTTATTGTCAAAGAAAAATAAAAATAAATAATTCAGTATCGTTGAACAGCATTGAAAAACAGTTTTCAAAAGATCAATTAATTTTCTCTCATTACACATAAATACTTTTTATCAAACGAATCTTCATCTCTTCAAGCAAACAACATTATTTCTAATGCAAAGATTCTTGTAATATATTTTCTATTTGATAAATAATAATAAGAATTTTATAATATAAAATTTTATTTCATAAAAATAAGAGAAAAGAAACTTATGAAACAGATTATAACATCAAATTCAATATCAATATCAAAAGTATTTCCTTTTCAATTCTAAAACAATATAATAACGTCGTTTCTACAATTTCTATAAATTTTTAAATCTAATTTCTAATTATATTATATTTTTTAGGTTTAAAAAAAAAAAAAGAATTCAAGCTTACAACTTACTATTTACGTCAAAAAAAAGAAATGTCCTCCTGTTATTCAACTACCAAATTAATCTTCTTCCTTTCTTCCTCGAAAACACCATACCCAATATATTTAATATTAACATATCATGGTAGCCACATCTCAGCCAGAAAAATCTGCTATAATACTTCACAGCATGTTGCTCTTAATTACCATTTTCTCGCGCCATGTGTCACAGGTACACCTGTACTTCAGTGCACTACCGGAAGACAAGATCCCGTACGCGGGCAGCGCCGGCGAGCGGGAACGGGTGAAGCAGCTGCTGCAACAACTCCCACCGCACGACAACGAGGCACGGTACTGTAGCGGGCTAACCGAGGAGGAGAAGCGGGAGCTAAGGGTGTTCGCCGCGCAGCGGAAACGCGAAGCGCTTGGACGAGGACACGCGAGCCAGCTGGACAGGCCCCACGGCGCCGGATGCCGCGAATGTAGCAGGCCGATCGCCGCCGGCGAGATGGCAGTGGCCGCGAGCCGCGCCGGACCATCCGCCCTCTGGCATCCGGCCTGCTTCGTCTGTTGCGTATGCAGGCAGCTGCTCGTCGACCTGATATACTTCTGGAGGGATGGCAGGCTATACTGCGGCAGGCACCACGCGGAAACGTTGAAGCCGAGATGCTGTGCTTGTGACGAGATCATACTTGCCGACGAATGCACAGAGGCGGAAGGGAGGGCGTGGCATATGAGGCACTTTGCGTGCCTCGAGTGCGATCGGCAGGTAAACATTGAATATGAAAATATGGCGAATATATCGGTAATTGAAATAATTAGGAGTATCGAGACTTTAGGTCAGATAGGAGCGAATGATTTTGATGATTGTATTGAATTTCTTCTTTTTAAAGGTATTCGAATCGGATCAGCATGTGAATCAATTGCCATGAATCTGAAAAGTTCACAAAGACATAAATATGTGATGTTTTTCTATGATTTTTCAATTGGTTAATCAATTCAATTATTCAATTATTATATGTTCCCTGTTTTATAATGAAATGTAGAGCTTCGCAGAGAAACAGTATGATATCCAAGTCAATGATTATTTTTTGAATCTAGCATTACTATTGCACTGAAATTAATAAAAAATTTATGAGAACAAGATTATTATTAGAAGAAATAGAGTATTTTTCTTCATTTTTTATAGTTAAGCTTATTGGAATGATAAAATGATAAGTGTAGATTAAATTAAGTTATTAGAATACATCAATTATTAGAATAGATCAATGAGGTTTTGTTAAATATTTCTTATTGTTATTCAAAGTCAATTATACAATTCTGTTTCGTCTCTTTCAAATACAGTTAAAAATGATGTTACTAACTGTCCATGAATATTAAGCGAGTGAAATTCATGAATTATGTATTATGCATTTATAAGTAAAAACGAATATGTGCATCTCAATATTGATAGTTAAACACTTATTGCTAAATATATATTCAAGATGTTCAAATTCATTTCTATTTTTTAAGTCGTTCTTTAACATTTCTATCAAAAGTATAATTTAATAAGTAATAAAAATAAATTGTTTCTCATTCTCAAAAGTAAATCGATGAATTCAAAACTAGAATTTAAAAAGTACTGTTAAATAGAAAAAATAAATATCTCATTTGGTTTCACAATTTATAACTTTTGATCTATATTAATGGAAATTATCTCTTCTTACTTATCGTACACGATTAATCAATGCTTGGCTTACACGTTTACTTAATTTCTCACTATCAGATTAAATCGTATGATAATACATATTGTAATTTTATCACTTAAAACGCATTAACTACACACAAGAATCTATATCACAAGTATTTTATTAAATATATATGAATAAAAAACTTTGAAAAAAAAGCAGATGCTATTCTCATCTAGTAAATGTATTGAGTGACAAGCAAAGGGCAGCAGTTTATTGACGCTTTTTGCGACATAACAATTATTTACATCAGAGGAGATGTCCTCCGAGAGTCATTTGGGATGGAACGGCGGAACGATTTAACTGTCAGCTTCAGAACTGCGCCCTTTATATTCCCATGATACCCGTCCAGGACATGCGACACGATAATTCATTGAATCAAGGTGTCGATAAATGTCACGATCATACAGATGATTATACACTACACGAAACATCTTATCGGCCGATCTGATTCGATAATGAACAATGGAATTAAAATTACGATCGACACAAATTGTGTGTTGCCATTTCTATACTCTGGAGATCTGTGATTATCCAGTATGATATGCTTGTAACAATGTATCAAACTTCGAAATGGATTAATAAGAATGAATGGAATTTGATAATGAAAGTGTGTCTTTTTTTTATTTTGTTAAATCGTTGAGAGATGAAGAGAATGATGAATAATTGTAATTTAATAAATAGATTTTTAATATTTTATCGATTAATATTATGATGACTATATATCTCTATATATGATATTGATAGATTCAATTTTGCATATTGAATAATAATTATATAATTAAATCAAAATTTCTACATTGCTTAAAATAAAGTAAAACTATCTTGAACTAAAGTTTTAAATAATTCCTTTATTTTATTTTTCTCTGGTATTTATTCTAAAAAATTTTAAATAATTAAATAATAATAATATAAATTTAAATGATTTTAGATAAAAAACTAATCTACTGTTTATTATGAATTATTTATTCTAATATAATATCTTACTACTTTTTTATTTTCCTAATAAGATAAATATGTTTTTAATCCTGACCATCAATATTGATAATGATTTAAAAATACTTTCATACACACATAAAAATATAATTAGTTATTATGCTAATAATAGGCGTATTTTTTAATAATTCATTGAACAATTTCAGCTCGGGGGTCAAAGGTACGTGATGAGAGAAGGCAGACCTTACTGTCTCCGATGTTTTGATGCCTCGTTCGCCGAGTATTGCGACAGTTGTGGCGAACCAATTGGTGTCGATCAAGGGCAAATGTCGCACGAGGGTCAACACTGGCACGCAACCGAGGCTTGCTTCTGTTGCGCCACTTGTCGCACATCCCTTCTTGGACGACCATTTCTTCCACGGAGAGGTGCCATTTATTGCAGTATTGCCTGTAGCAAAGGGGAACTACCAACGACGCCAAGTGATTCTTCTGCTGGACCACCACCACCACCACCTTCCTTCCTTAGGTAATCATTGTTCAAACTTTTATATGATTAAAAATGAAGAATTTTTTAAAAAGTACAATTAAAAAACTTAAATTAAGTTTAATTTAGTCATCATATTTAATTGTTGGTTGAGAATTTTTATTATTATAGAAATTTTTTATATGCAATATTACACTTGTTTCATTTAATTATCTGCTTTTTAATTTTTCTGTCTTTTTATTGAAAATTTTATTCTGACAAAGCAAAGATTCATTGTTCTGATTCATTTTAATGATCTTTAAGTTTTAATTTTAATTAAGAATTCATTTTATCATTCAATTTATAGAACTGGCCGGAGACCACCACCTCCAAGCGAAGGTTCCTCGAGTCCACCACCCCCACCACCACCTCCACCACCACCTGGATCCAGACATACTCTCTGTTCACCACGTAATTCACCTCGGATGAATAGAAAGCATCAAACATCTGCTTCTCTAGCGACAACACCTACGCAAAGCACTTTAAGCCCTGAATTTCCGGTTGAAACGTTTCCTTCGAGTAGTTCCAGATCAAATGGTCTTGATCGTGTATTACTCGAGAGGAATCTCGAAAGACTTCTTCAGGAACGTAGTTCTCATCCAGAAGAAAATCGTAATGAATTGGGAAGGTAAATTAGTTTGTCAATAAATTAGTTTTTTCAACAAAATTAAAATAAAGATTTAAAATTGTTTCTTAACTTTAAAAATATATTCCTATGTAGAATAATGCATAGCAATAATTCAAGATCAATTAATATCAATCATAGAATATAAGATTTTTAATTATAAAAGCGATTATTTTTATTAATAAAATCACAAGAATATTATGAAAGTATTTATATAAAAAAAAGTTATACAAATTAAAGTTTCCTTTTAATTAATTATAGTTAAATGTCAGTAAAAAAAAATTCAACTGTTTCTTTAAATTATACATAACAAACTAATCTATCAAACTAATTAATCTATTTATAATTACAATATAATTACTGCAATACTGTTCACAAAACAAAATCAAACAATCACATAAATTAACCATTATAAATCTTTTTTTCATAGGTTGATGCAAGCGAGAGATCGTGAGCCATTAAGATGCATCCAGAATTGCGCTCCTTCCCATGCATCAAGCATGCCAGAGCTACCACCACCTCCCCGACCATCATCTGGAGCATCAGCATCGGCATCAACGTCTACATCGACCGGTGTTGTCGCAACCGGGGTTGTGCTAGAATCGGCGACATCGCCTACGACCCTCATTGTCGGTCAAACCGACCCTCCGACACCAACATCGCGGCGCGTGCGGTTTCAGGGTGACTTGGACATGAACGATCACGCGGCGAGTTCCTCCCGTGTTCCCCTGTCGCCTGATAATGATAGGAATTCGTCATCTTCGCCTTCTCCTCCGCTTACATCGCTATCGAGAACAAACGTGTCTCGATCGAGAAGCTTACAATCGGAGGAAGTGGCTGACACATCCTCTTGGGGTGTGTAAATTTTCTTGTTTTGAATAACGCAACAAAATTCCAAAGAAGAATCAATTATACCGAGACAAAAAATGTTAAATCTTTTAAAATGTTTATCTTGGCTATAATATAGTGAAATTTTAAAAAGATTGATAAATCAATTGAAAAGAAAAAATTCTTGAAGTTTTTTAATTTTTATTCTATTGTATAGCACAAGAATTATATACATTATATTTATTATGTTATCTATTTTTAATATATGTGTAATTGTTGTGTTATATTTATTGTATATATGTATTATTGATATAAATTTATTGTTATATATACTTTATTATTCTATCTATTAAGCATGATTTTTTTTACTGTTTAATTAATTCATTAAACTGTCTATAATTATTTTATTTATATTTATATTTATATTATATTTATGATTTAATGAATAGATTTTTAAAATGTATACTTATTACATTTTTTATGATTATTATATTAACTTTATGATTTATTCCAGGTATCGCTGGAAACTCAAAATCGAGGATAGACGGCGAAGAAGAAGACATTGAATCCTGCTGTTCCACCTGTAGCTCGTCAAGCAGTTCCGACGAAGCTGCAGCTTATGCCTTACCTCCAAGGAGAGCATATGGCGGTGTTAGAATCTCTTACGTGCCCAATGATGCAGTTGCATGTGCAAGGAAACGTACACCGACATCCTCGACGTCGAATCAAACGCAGAGAGATACAGATAAATGCATCGTATCCTGATGATATCTTCGAGAGTGTAGAATAGTTTTTATATCAATGTATTACCTCGAGGAAAATTTTTGTTTCGCGATTATACGACGTGAGGAATAGATTCGTGCAAGTCTCGAATCGACGAACAACGCGAAACATGAACGAACACAAATAAAAAGAAGAGTTCCTAAAATCGATGTAACCGAGGTTTGCAAAATTTTTCACAGTCGAGACTCGACTTTGAGTGCGAACTAAACTCCAGAGAGGATTTTTAATATATTCCTCGTGTACATAGTTAAAACGTACTTCCGATACGATCACTCGTGAATACCAAACAATCGCGAAGATCGCGCTTCTCCTTCTATTTTTATTACCCCGTTGAATGTATTTTATAATTACGATGACGATAATATTATATTTTATTACCATTGCCATTCCTAATAAATAACATTTTTAACAAGTGCCGTGTTCTTCTACAAGATTCGATTGTTCTGTAATTTTTTCAGACAACGATCTGTGATAAGAGCATTGGTTACAAAGACTCTACTTCACATGAAACAATTACAAGTATTTAACCGTGATGCAACTGCATTACGTTATGCTATAAGTACAAATGAAGAGCGTTCGGACCGAGATGTAGACAATCTGAAAAGTATTCGCAAAATAAATTGAAACGAAGTCTATGGAAGTAATTGTGTCGTGATATTGATATTAATCACCTTCTTTTCTTCCATATATTTTTATATAAACTAAATTAATATATATATATATATATATTTCAAATGGATTATATGATCGAAGGAGGGATTTTCTTGTTAATTTTCTTTGAGAGATTGTATTTTTAGAAATATTATATTGTTCAAAAATCTTTAACATTACATAAGCTAGAAATCAAAGTAAAATCATCTTACAATTTTCCTATCAAATTTATAGATTTATTTCAAAATTAATTTTCTTAAATTTTATCCTATTTCACTAAGAACAATCAACCAAATTAATTCAATAATATTTTTCTATATTGAAAATATCGCTTTCTATTTGAATCTAAGGTAAGATCAATTATAAAATAATGTTTGGAAAGCTCGTAAAAACTTTGTTCAACAATCGTTCTACAAAATGTGCGTAACCTACAATCGAAATTGCGGATAGAAATCAGTATGGTGTACTATGTTAACAACTGCAAGATCTAACAGTAGACGAAACTACGCGATGTCTGTCGTCTGATTAGAAAGAGGAGAAAAATGAAAACGCACGGTTGAGCAGCGAAAAGAGCGAAAGTGGTTTCTCTCAGCACGAGACGCCTGTTGTTATGCCACTATCTCGGCTACTTGTTATACTCATAAAATCTCTCTCTCTTTCTCTCCCCCTCTCTCCTTCTCTCTAACTTTCTCTTATTTCACGCGAGAGAGATCTCTGGTTTATGACTGACCGTCAGAAGAGCCAGAAGAATAAGCTACGCCGATTTATTATCTACGAATATTTCTAATCAAAGATCGTGCCATGTTACGAAAGACAGAAATGCTATATTAGCGTACGGTATATATCTACAATTCATATTTCGCATCTCAGCTTATCGAATACTTTAGATGAATGCGTGTTTGAATGAAATTACATGATTATGTCATGATAATCCAAGAAAACTTAGAATTATGTAATTGCTCTAAGAACTCTCATGACCTGCAAAGAGATTATGTAGTTTAAATGAATTTTGTAAAAATTGATTAATTTAAAATAATGTTGAAAGAGATGAAATTTTATTTTATTTGGAAAGAAAAGTAGTAAAAGAAGTTTAATTTTAATTTTATAAATTAAAAGAATTATTTAATCTGTGTATGATTTTGTCTTTTTTTCTTGCTTTTAAGGATTTACTTCAACAAAATATGAAAAACTATAAAAATTTTGGAAAATATTTTTCTTTTATTTTATGTATCATTAACATGTATAATTTAAAAAAGTTAAAATAGTCTGAAATGAAATGTCGTTATAAATCGCATATTTGAAACAATTTTACTGATCAATTATGCAAATATGGACATTTCTTGAAACATTTTTCTTATTCATCATATTCACTTCGCTAATGCCGTTAATATTATTAAATATAAAAAATATAAATCTGCATAATTATTACTCATTTAGAAACCAACTATTTAATTAAATTTATTAAATCATCATATTTAAATAATTTAATAATTAAATTAACAATTTAAATCATTAATTTAAATATGATAAACTTTAAAAAAATTAATTAAATCCTAATGATCATATTTTTACATTTGATATATATAATAATACTTAATACATAATACGGTAAGTAAATAAAGTATAAAAAAGTTTTCATAAAAAAATATATAACATTAATTTATATAAATGGAATTATATATTATGTTTAATCCATATTCATTAAATTATTTCTATATAAATTTCATTTTGAAGATTAATGTTATATATATAGTACAAACTAGACTAGGATTGTGTAATTATAAATAATTCGTGATACTTGCAAATATTTAAAGGAGAATGTGTTCTCGTGTAGATATTCTTTTTTCAATCTTTTTCAAGCACAGATTATCTTGCTGTATTATAGTCTTGTATTGTTTCCATAGATTCATTTGCGATGTACTAGTTTCTTTCAGCACATTCACCTGACACTATAATAACAGAGATTCATATACAAAACAACTTTTAAAGTTAATTCAGACGATGTGATTTTTTGATTGATTCAATTATTTTACTGAATTGGAAATAAAACATTCATGCGATTCTCTATCTTTATTGAAAATTCAATTTTCACGAGTATATGTTTATTTTTGTAATGCTAATTCTTTTAAATTTTTATCTTCATAAGAATCTAATTCCACATAACAAATCTTTATTTTATTGATATTATTAATATAATTCCATTTTTCCATTTCACTTCGTTTGAAAATATTTTTTCATATATATGATAAAAAACGATAAAAAAATGAATTTTACTACATCAATATATTTTTAAGATATCGAATGATTTTATACCAAATTCATCATATTATACATAATACGAAAACTGTTCTGATTATTGATAAAATCAAATGTTAAGAATGAATAAATCGGTGATTTTATTGTATACACATATTATTTTTAAAATAGTATATAGTAATATACAAGATGATAAAACAATTGATTCAAATGATCAATTCTTCATACTGTCAAGAAACTTTTACTATAATAACTTGCACATATCAAAATGAATCGATTAATTCATATATTCGAGAACTAAATGAAAATAGAAAAGTGTGAATGTTGCTTTCGATTATTATCGATTTGCTAAATTATCGAATAAATTAAAAAACTATATTACCTTTTTAATATCTTATTATTTTTTTAAACTATAAATAATATATATATATATTATAAATATTTTAATAATAAAGAAATAAGAATCTAATTTAATAAAAGAAATTATTAAGAAAACATTCATTATTAAAAATCATTATTATTATTACTTCTATACTTTTATTATGAAATTCTTTAACATTTCTCAACAAATTCTAAAACTCTCTATTTATGTTTTATTTATATTCTACAGGACTTAAATGATCACATGTACTATGTACAATTTTTCCATTTTGCTTATCTCCTAACCTAAACTTGCCAAAAAAGGCACAACAAATACACATATAAAATATTTATGAACCATGGAATGTAATAGGAAAGAATGGTTGGAATGACAGATCCAGTAACCATAAATTTAGCTATATGCAATTATGCGATTTCATTTATACTTAACACTTTCGTCAATGTCTAATGACAACACTGACATGAAAATATATTCTGTAGGCGAAATTGTGATTTCCTTGCCGATATTTTTTCCAACTTTCTATAATACCACACTATATATTACCACATTAATTTACATAATATTAAGAATTATCTATTTAATCAAATAATTTTATTTCAAATAAGTTAGATTGTGGGTTGTGCTCATTATAAATTTCTCTATCTTGTGAAAAAATATAGGAAAAAACACGATAATAAAATTGAAATAAAATTGCATAAAAATTTCGAGATTAAGTTTCGATGAAATTGTTATCAGAATCATAAATTATAAGTTAAATCAAAATTATAGGTTATTTACAAAGGGTATAGGTTGTTTAAAAGTTCAGAAACATTTTATTTATTAAGAATTTAAATTCTTTTATTTTAAATATCAACTAAGAAAAGAATTTATAAATACAAAATCAGTAGAAATAAGAAAAAAATTTGAATTATCTTCGAATCGTGACTTAATCTCTATTGTAAATTATACTCAAATTAAATTCCATAAGATATCCACAATGAATCTTGATCGTTTCTTTTACATTTCATCTTACTTAAATCACAGAATTGAATCTTGATTTCCCGTTACAAGAAGTCTGATTCATGCGCAAGTTACGCCAAAGCGATCGACGCAAAAAGAGAACGCATTCTTATCTAGCTAACTCTATTCATAGCCATTCCACTAGATGTTGACATTCTTTGTGAATACGCCCAAAAGACGTTCGAGCGAGAATCACTAGCCAATATCGATGTCAAGAAACTCGATTAACCGCGAGAAAAACATAAACGCATATACAAAGAGTTCGCACTTCACGTCATTCGGTTGTGCTTGATATTAAATATAATTTTTGTAAAGAAATTTTTGCGAAATAAGTTGATTAGTGATTAAGTATGCGCGATTATGTAATATTATATCAGATATTTTGTGATGTGATAATATGAAATATTTTTATTCTATCCAGTGGTATTATTAATGAAATTTTATGAAGAATATATAAGAAAATAGCGAGAAATTATTTTGAAAATAAATGTATTTGAAAATAAAATAATTTTCTTTTTTAATTAAGAATTATAATATTATATTTTATAATTATGCAGATTTTAGAATTATTTAAATTATCTTCCTGTATAATGTATGAGAATATGAATTTAACATTGTAATATTAGAAAATAGAAGAAAACATTCGTATTTCACATATAACTCACAGTTCAATGCAACAATGATAAAGAGTATTAAAAAAGATTGTTAAAAAAAATACAAAAATTGAACAAAAAAATTAAAATAAAGCGTGATTTGAGAAAACAAATTATAAAAAAAATAATAAAAAATATAATATTAATATTCAATAAAACCTATTTTTTACATTAAAAATAAAAGAACATAAGTTAAAAGAGCAAAAAAGAGAAATAATAGTACTATTCGTTTTACAAAGATACGTCGAAAATTTCACCTGTCAATGGTTGATTTCATTATATAGCAAGAGCATGTCAGATATTGAATTGTATGAGTTAATCATACATGATGCAAGTAGGCTGACTTTTATAAAAACAAACGATTTGCGCGATGGTACAATATACCATGTATAATTGGTCAGCATATTGATAGTAACTCGTGAAATATTCCAACAAATCCGACATACATTCCAGTACTCGGCTACTTACGTTTCACCTTACTGTGGAATGCAGTCACCTTGTGGCAGGTGTACGTCCTCAAAGGTTTCAACTTCGTACTTTCCCCAATTTGAATTCAAATGTGTATCTCTGTCGTGATAGCAATCAACAAGATCTTATTAAAGTAATCGTTTTGATTTTGATTTTTTTTCTTTGTATCATAAAATAGAAGTGAAATATTTGATTAATATTCATAATTTACATTTGATTAATATTTATACTTTAATTTAAAAATTGTTATTATTTCAATACATGAAATTCTTTAATTATTATTTTTTTAATTATTAAATAATCGAGAAATAAGATTAAAGAAAAGATTAATTTTATCGTAAGTGATTTTTAAAAATTTTTATTTTATAACTTAAAATTAATAGTAATATTAAGAATACTTTTAATATAATTATTATATTTTTTATTTTTTTCTATGAAAAATTAAATTTTAATATTTAATTTAAAAAATATATTTATATTATCACGTCATATACTTATGAAGATAACCATAAAACTTTATTTTTATTCATAGATAGCATGTGATAGAAATTGATAGATTGTGATTGATATAACTTTCAGTGTGGACAATAAATCGGACAGGAATAGTGATTTTGAACAGATGAATATTCTACATTATCTATATTTTACATTATTTTACATTTTAATAGCATGTAAGTATTAATCATTTTTCTTATATTGTAATCAACACAAAAATAATAATAATAATAAATATAAGAAGAATATGATATTAATGTACAATGTGCTCTAAATCCTAATTATCTAACAGAATATGGAAATTACAGCAGCTGTTCTAAATACCAAGATGAATATTTGAATTTACAATAGATAAGAAAATAAAATAAAGAAACAAATTACATAGAATAATTTTGGATTAGATACGCACGCATAAGAATCGAACTAACGGGTCCATGAAGCTCGTTTACGTGACCTCTGAGCGGTCATCCCGCAGTTAAATGCGCGAGAGGCTTTCTCCAAGGATTGGAATGCGGCCTCTCCCTCTGCCCAGCTCTCTGATTCGCTTCGAGACAAGCAAGGAGATACATATGTCGACCTCAAGATCTATTCTTTAATCAATTAAAAAGATTTTAATTCTTTCATAATAACTAAATGCTGGAAAATCAATTTCCGTTGGCTTCGAGTAAATCAATTAGCAATATCTATGTTCATATTTTATGTCAATAATACAATGTAAGTTGATGTTAATAGATTGCAAATGTTATTGATACATTTTTATACATATTATATATATATAAAATATGTATAAAAATTTTATAAAAATTAATTTAAAAATTATTTTAGATATCTTGAATTTCCTTGATTTGTTTTTAAATCTTTAATTCTTTTTTAATTAATCTTTAAATTTTATGAGTTTGTTTTTATGTCCTGGAATTATTAATATTTAAATATTTTGTTGATCTTTTAACATCAGATTAAATTCCTAAATTTTAAAATCCCTAAATCTTTTAAAATTTAAATTGTGAATTTCCAAACTCTGAATCATTTGACTTTTATTAATTATTAGAATTTGAAATTCTTAGATTTTAGTAGCTGAGATTTTAAACTTTATATTTTTTTTAAGATCTTGAAATTTATGAATTCTATTTTTATTTAAATTTTAAACTTTAAATACTTCATACCATAAATTGTTAATGTCCTTTATATTTTTCTACATTTTGTTTTTTTTTTTACTTTTTCATATTAAAAAAATTTCGTTCTTAAGATTCTTAATAAAAATCTTGAAATTTTTAAATGTCTTTATGTAATATTATATAATATAAAAAAATATATTTTTAGCCTCTGTATCTATATATCTAAGAATTTCCTCAATTGCAATTTCTCTGAAAGAATTTACAACTCTTCAAAATGTCGATATCGTTTGGTAACAAACTTTTACCAAGCACAGAATGTAAGACCTGTTTGCCAGTCTGCATGCAGCCTAAGGCGCGAATGAACACCACTCGATCGAGCTGTAGGCTACCGCGTGCCGGAGCTGCTCGCTTTCCATTCCGATCGAGAGGTTTTGCTCTTGCTACAAGTTAAAATGTACAGGCTCAGGTATAAACACTAGCTAAGTCGTGCTTGTCGGGCATGCTTACTACGCGAGTAAAACCATCTGAATGAAATTAATTTCCGTTTGAAAGATACCCATAGATCAATGATATCGAAATACTGATTTCTGTGAAGGTTAAATTGCATAAATTTTTCGTGATCAGAAACATAAACTTGTAGAATTTCGTGATTGAAGTTGAGAAATATGTTTTCTTCTTTTTCTTTTTTTAAGAGAAGTCACGTTCCTTATTTTATAATTTTCGTAATTATCTTATTTTAGAGTATTCTTCACTTTGATGATGAATGAATAGATTACTCTTAAGATTTATATCATATAGGTAATCATGTTATGAGTGATATATTACATGTAATATCGTTAATTTTTGTTAAGAATTAAGAAAGCAGACAAATAAGTTTTAATAACTTTAGTTATGTTTTCAATTTATAATAGTATTTAAAATTTCCAAATTTGAACGTATAATATATTCAAAATCATTTTATCAAAATTATTTTAAGGTTATATTTATATTACATATTATGAAATATGAATATGAAATGAATTATAAATATCAATTAACAGAAATGATAATTGCTTAGATATTAATTATATTGAATACCAGATATATATATTTATTCAAATTAAATTTGATGAATAATAAAATATTATTTAAAGATTAAACTTATTTTGAATCATTTTCATTGTATTATTCAAAAAATTTGAAATAAAACAATGAATATCATATAATGCTCTTGTTAGAGCTATAATAAGAGTAGACTATATTTTTTAACTTTAAATTTGGAACAATTAATTGAGAAAGAGAGGAAGTCATACACACAGGAAATTTGAAAATTTTCTCCTAACTAATAAATATAATAGATATACATGTAGTATTAAATTTTTTTATTGTTTTTTAAAGCATAACAAAAAATCTTTCATGCAAATTTCAAATGTTTTATAAAAAATTTCATAAGATGATAAAAATATATTACAATATTAAATGAACATTATTTTTATTCTGTGAAAAATATTATGCTATTAATTTTAATTATAAAAATAAGAAAATAAAAAAAAATAAACATATTTTTAATAAAATATGAAATACGTATCATAATATTTTGTAATTTCGAACAATTGAAATTAAAACAAATAGAATTATTTTTTATCAAAAAATTCGGAATGTATAATTTTAAATATGAGATGTCAAACTGCTATGAAGCACGATTGCGCGGTGAACGAGGTGAAGGAACATAGAGCAGGTATTCAGGCGAACGAGCAAGCAGCTTTAAAAAAACAGGCAGTTGGTAATATGGCGGGGGACAAACGTAAGAGGCCGTGCGGGAGCGTAAAGTAAGTTTTCGCTCACGGCTGCTTTGCAATGCCAGGCAGTCGAGGTGAGTCGAGTCGAGTCGAGTAGAGCCGAGCCGAACCTCTTGGAATCAGTCTGAGACGTGGCCCCATCGCATCCTTTTCGTTTGTTGCGGTATCCTTGTGCGCAGCTACCACCTGTTGAAATCGAACGATCTTATCATGCATCGTCGTAATTAAGAACTCGATACATCGAAATGACTATGTTTTGAAGTCACATATTTTAATTATTCAGTGAAACACCGTGGATTGCGCGGAAACACGTTTTCTTTTGTTGTGTCTCACCACCAAGAGTGGAATCACTTGTATAATCTTGTTTTTTGTTGGTTAACGATAATATTGTTTCAGAAGTGCTAGTTTAAAATTTATAATCTTGGTGCAATGATTTTGTGTATGCAACACTGAAAGATCAATTGGAAGTTTAGCAGAAAATATTCAAGAGGTAGGAAGATAATATTATTGAATCTTTTTTGATTTAGTGAAATAATCACATTCGTTTACCAAACCATTTTCGCAAAAATGTTTTTATATAAATCTTTGAATCCTAGATATTCATTATACAATATATTTAGTAAAGTTGATAATGATCGAAGGAAGAGATTATAGAATTTATTAATGTATGATCGTTGAAAGAAGTTGAAAATAGAATATGCTTCTTGACAATTATATAAGGTTAAATTAATAAGAAAATTAAAACAATTCGAAGAGAATAAACTAATGTTATATTCCAAGGATGATTCCAAGACAATTCGATCGACAAGTAATGGTTGGTTAAAAAGTTAAAAAGTTATCGATAACCATTCGATCGATTCACTGTAAAGAATGTTTTGTTTCTTCTCTTTTTTTTTATCGATGTGCGCTTCCTGTATCATCCTATTTATATTCTCTACGTATCCTCAGGTAATATCGCGTGTATGGCGTAACAGCTCATTATACGTAGAATGTTGGTGAGAGGAAGTTTAATGGCATCAACGTCATTGGCGTTCCTCGCCTCTTCGTTTTTCTTAATTATCTTAGAAGAAATTGCATCTTTCATATCTGCATAATTCTGCATTGTAAGCTCATTCGTTCATCCTCCTACACCCTGATTATGCATATTCGTCTTGTTTCTCTTCGTTGATATTTATTATTATTATTAAACTCTTTTCATTGATATTTATTATTATTTATACGTGTATTTCTTAATAGAATTTTAATATTCTTTTAATATTCGATGAAATTTTTTTTTCGTTATTGCGTTTCTTTCTTAAAATTTGTTATTCCGTTTTATCGCGCCACTTTTATCGTGCGCTGAATCGCATAATGCTCCCAAGTGAAAACGCGATTAAACAGTGAGAACAAAACGAAAACTGAATGAAATGAATGTCTGCTGAAATTGTGGTTTGTTTTCTACGACATATCAAAGAGAATAACGACATTGCCTATATATATATAATAACATAGTTTCGCCTATTTGTATGATTGCACCGCGAATTTTTTTTCTTTGTTATTCAGAAAGAAATTTCTCAATGAGAACGATCAATTAATAATGCTTATAAACATTATCATTTTCATATAGATAATTCAAGAAATAGTCTTCCTATACTCTATTGTTTCGCTTTATATTGAAGACATAAGTTTGCTGAATATTCTTTTGATTTTTTTCATTGTTTTTTTTCTTTATTTGCATGTATTCTATTGACAGAGATGATGATATTAGTTTATCTTGACATACTATTTTAAATAAATAATTGATGGTTTACTTACAAACAAGTGTAAATTAATGTTAAAATATTTATATTATTTATAATTTTTACATATTTTTTTTAAATGTTTTTATTACTTTAGAAAGAACAGTGAAATGTGAAATGGCAAGATCATATAGAAACATAAAATGTAAACAGAAGAATCCGAGAAAGCTATGCAACTTATTAATTGCGTAGTTATTTTGTTTAAGAAAATATGATGTTTATGGTTCTTAACAAAAATGTATTCAAATTCCAAATTTGTAATTTCAAATTTTTCATATATATTTTATATATATATTTATATATATATTTTAAAATTTGAAATATCATAATCATTATCTTTAATATTTAGTTTATATATTTGTATATTGTAGAAATAAATATATATATATTTAAATTTGTATGAACTTAAAAATACTGTTTTAATCGATATCCGAATATGATTTTCAATCGATATATCTTTTCTTTTGTTTCTTTTTCAAGTTTCGTGAGAATAAGAAAGCAATAGAAATGTTTTCTCAAGATTATGTATGGGATCGATGGCATTTAGAGGACGAAAAACTAAACAAACAGCTTTATTATTAAAAACAATATTAATATTTACTAGTATTTTAAGTTTAGTATTGAAATTTTTAATCAAGCCATGAAAATATTTTTCATAATATTTATCTCTTTTCATAGTATAATCTCTTTTATTTTTAATTTATATGGTTCAATTTCTATCTTTTATTTGACTTTCTACACGATTCCAAATTGACACAAAATGAACCGTTCATTAATACCAACTGAAATCATTCTATCGTTAATTAATTTTTCTTTTATTTTGATAAGGATTATTTTTTCGGTAACTTATCAGGTTGATATTCGATTTCATCGTCCAATATTCAAAATGTCAAATATATTATTCAATATATAATTATAATTAACATATAATTAAATTTAATATAATTTAATATAATTATATATATATATATATATATATATATATATATATATATATATAATA